TGACTTGCCCAAGTTCTAATAGGCAGCAAGTCGCAACAGCAGAATTTGACTCCAGGCCCTGGCTCCAAATTCAGCACTTTTTATATTCTAGGCATAGAAGAGCAGGAGAGAAGGGAGGAGGGGGAAGAGGTGGGGAGGTAGACAGAGAGAGGAGGCGGGGAGAAAAGGAGAGAAGATGGAGAGAGAGAACGGGAGACAGGAGGAGGGAGAGAGAAAGGGAGGAACAGAGAGGAAAAAGGAAGACAGAGGAGGGAGAGAGAAAAAGAAGAGAGGAGGGAGGGAGGATGGAGAGAGAAAGGGAGACAGAGGAGGGGGAAAGAAAGGGAAAGAAGGAAAAAGAGGGAGGGAGAAAGGATGGAGAGAGAGAAAGGGAGACAGCAGGGAGAGAGAAAGGGAAGAACAGAGAGAGAGAAAGGGAGACAGAGGAGGGGGAAAGAAAGGGAAAGGAGAGGGAAGAAGGATGGAGAGAGAGAGAAAAAAAGGGAGAGGAGGAGGGAGAGAAAAGGAGAGAGGGAGAGGAAGAAGGGGGAGAAAGAGGGAGGGAGATATGCCAAAATCAAACAAGATTTAAATATATATATGTATAGACATACGCATAGACACATATGCAAGTATACATATGCAAAAATCAAGGAAGACAGTTGTCACCCTTGAGAAGCTTACCTTCTAACAGAGGAAGACGCCATGTAAAGGGGTTGCTGGAAGTGAGGTGTGGGGGAGAAGAGAGGAGAATGGTCCAGGAGGCTGCAGGGTGCCCTGCTTCCCTACTCGATAGTCAAAAGCTTGTGCTTTGGCGAGGGAGGGGGGCAATCACAGTAATTTCTGGCTGGGTGGAGATGATCTGAGAGGGAGACATAGGCAGGGAGACTGCAGTGAGTCATCTGGGGCACCAACACTCAGGTGGCAGCCTGGGGGGGCACACAGCTAGTGATGCCAGAGAGGGGATTTGAATCCAGGGTCTGCCTCCAACAAGAGACCTTGATGAAGGCTCCTGGCATGTCCGTTTGGCCCCTGTGACAAACTTCTGGGAGTGGCACCATGGGAGAACACAGACCCCCTGGATTGTTGGAAGGCTGGCATCTTTCTTGATCTGACTCCAGTTCTCTCCCACTATAACCAGCTGCCTCTAGCTCCAGACAGAGTCAGGAATGATTTCATTTATCTCTGTATGCCTGGGGCCAGTACGGTGCCTGGCATCCACTCGGTCCTGTCCTGAGCTGTTTGCATGTTTTCTTCCCCATCAGTGAGTGCGTCTTTGGCCTTTGCCCAGCACACAGTAGGTACTTAATAAATGCTTGTTCTCCCCTCACCCCCTTTGTCTCCCCCATTGGACTATGAGATCCTTGAGAGCAGAGATGTCTTTGGCTTTTCTTTGTATACCCAGTGCTTCGATCAATAAATTTTTTATTGACTGGTTGTGTCGGATTTTTTGGATTGAACCGAATCGAGTGTACTGGCATGTTAGCTGTGGCCAGCCCTTCCAGGCAGGCCTCCAGGACAAAACAAATAAACATCAGCAGTTCTAAGACATCTCACTTTATTTAAAAGAAGCTAATATACAGAATATAAAGGGCACAATTATTTACAACAATACAGTAAACAGGCTGGTTTTCAATGGGGTCAGTAGTCTGTTTGGATGAATAGAAAATTAAATTAAAAACAAACCAGGACACTCTAGGACCCCTTGGTGGGAGGACAGCTGGGGGCAGGGGGAGTTGGAGGGAAACCCCAAGTCCCTCCCAACAAGGTCTCTTTAAATAAATATTCCTTTGGGGCTAAGGTTTCGAGCTATATTTAAACACCACTGGGTTCCAACACTAAGGACCATATGGGGATAGGGGCAGGGGGTTTCGATGCTATTTTTTCTTTTTCTTGAAAGGCTAAGAGAAGCAAGAATCTGCTGATCTGTCCAGGCTCTGATCCCTCCCAGTGAGGAGAGAGGGCAAACACAGCCAGACCCTGGCCCTAGGCTAGCCCATTCAAGTTCGAGATCCCAACTGCCCCTCCTAGGCTGTCTGGCTATAAACAACTCCTTGCTTGGATTTCATCCTGTTCAAACTTAGATCTGACTTTAATAACCCAGGCCCTTCCCATGCCCTGCCTTCTACCCCCCAGGTACCCCTCTCTCCCACCCCTCCAAATCTACTGTTTCTCTGCTAAAACCAGAGCCCTTTTTCATCGGCCAAGAGGAAAATAGGGGGGCTGTTCCAAAACCTACCCTCCCACTCCCCCTCAACCCCACCCAAATCATGTAAAACCTTCTCCCTACCTCCAGAGATAGACTTCTCCTTAAAATGGACACAAGCCAACTTTCCAGCCCAACCCAGAGGCAGGTTGGGAGGGGGAATAACTTCTTAAGGAATAAGACATTGCCACTGACTCATGTTTTATCTAGCCGGAAATTCTGAAGAAGTAAAACACTGAGGATAGAACCGATCCCTAAGACTTGCTTGAGTTGGGGACCCACTGACCCTCTGGTCAGGACCTGGGGGTTGAAGGGGTCAGTAGGGATTCTGGAGACAAAGCAAAAAAATGACTGATTTGGAGACAGATCTTGGTAGCCCCAAGATGGGACAACTCTTTTCAGAGGAGCTTGTCCCTGACATCCTTATTCCTATGAGACTAGATGGGCATCACTGAATTTTAAAAACTGAAGCCTGGACTACCTTGAACAAGGTCCCCCAGCTAGCTAGCAGCAGGGTGGGGACTCCTGGCTCCCAGTCCAATGTTCCTTGCTCTGAACCACACTGCTTCCCTCCCTGACCCACGGGCAGGAGAGAAGGATAGGGTAGGTGAGATGATACACAAGCAGGTACACACCCTTCTCCCTTCAGAAGGCCCTATACAACCCAGAGCTGGAAGCCAACCCACACACTCAAAACCTTCCCGTTTGTAAAAATAAATGAGTGGTTCTCCTGTTTCACAGATTACATTTAGCTGAAGTTACACACACTCTATTTTCTTTGCCTTCCCCCTACCCTCACCTACCTGCAGGTACCTTGGTTCACTACTTTCCATTCACTGACCTATCATTGTGTTTGTGAGCTCACCATGGGAGAATACACACATACACATAGGCATACGCACACACACACACACACACACACACACACACACACACAGAGTCCCTGCCTGTATCTCTGATTTCCCTTCCCTACGCCGGCCACCCTCAACTCTCTCAGTATATATATAAATGTATCTGACCTCATGGACATTAAGAAAAAAAACCCACCCCAAAAACCTGCCTTCTTCTCTTCCCACCACCCCTGCCACCAAAACCCTAAAAAAGTGATGGAGGGAAAGAGGTGTGTATAGGAAGCCTTCTAAAGTACCGGCATCAATATGACGCGGTGACTAGAAATAGAAAAGCAAGAAAGTATTTACAACTTTACAAAGGAAGGACTGGGTAGTCCCAGTGTTGGCCCAGCGCTGGCCCTAACAGTGGTGGGTGGGTGGGAGGAGGAGGAGAGGTGGGACAGTTCCTGGAAAGCTATGGGCTCAGGGAAAGGGGGCCTGCCCCAGCTAGGAGCTGAACTTAAATCAGGCTAAGAGCCAGAAACCAGATCTGCTAGGGGCCCCCAGAAGGAGGCCAGCCCCAGCCCCTCCCACCCCACACATTCACCCAGAGGGTCTCCTGCCTGTCAAGTGAGGGCATCCACGGTCCTTCAGCATGCCCTCCAACCAGAAGCCAGCCTGGGGGATTAGCTACGGCAAAGATGGCCCGGCCAGAAGGCAGCCTCATTGGCTCCTCTTAACCCAATTATTCACCACCCCACAGGACCCACAGAAAGAAACCACCTGGGGCTAGAAAAGCCGAAATAATACACCACACACCAGTCACCATGGCAACTGATATAGCTGCCCTCAGATACTTATACTATAGGTCTTAACTTTAAAGATATGTCACCTTCCCATCACCTGGAATATAATGCCCAGAAAGGAGGCTATTTGTGCCTCTGGGACACAGCAGGCCATACAAAGGGATGGTGGCCTCCCTGAAGGGAATCCGCCACCAGTGCTCTGCCTGACTCTTCTTGCCTTACAGCTCTGGGAAAAAGAGAAAAGGAAACTCAGGGAGATCCGCTGTGAAGGATCATCAAAGCCCAGGCAGATCGCCCTGGTCTTGGGGATATACAAAGAGATAGAAACTCGGTGGGGAGAGGGGAATGCACAGGGAGGGGCTGGACATCTCCCAGCCAGGGGGAATGGAAAGTTCTTCATAGCAGCTGAGGTTAAAGCCCACAGGGCTTTGCTACCCTTTGGTTAAAATTAAAATAGAACTGATGGTTCCACCTAGGATGTGTGTTTGAACCCTGTTGCCTAAAAACAAAGAAAGTGAATGGGGACAAGCAGGAGGGGCTACTTGCCCCCCACCCCACCCCATGACCAGGAACTGCTTTGGCTACTCGGAGCTGCTGGGGGGATGAGCCGCGGCACCTCTTGGCCAACTGAAACGTGGGGAATCCATCTACCTGACTTCACCCCAACAACAAAAAGATGTCAAAGGCCACTGAGGTCTGATAAATTAGAAATGGTCACACATACACTTTCTCTTTCCATATATATATATATATATATATATATATATATATATATATATATATATATATATATATATATATATATATATATATATATATGTATAATCTATAATATGTATATTATATACAGAATGGCTTTAAGATAAACAATAACAAAAAAAAAATAACTGGAAAGAACAGTCCCCTTTGGGGAATGAGGTGGTTTCCAAAGGGTTCCCTCTGGGTCCCCTGGAGTAGGAATATGGGTGGGGAAAGATGAGCTCCTTGGAAGACATGGAAGAATAGCTCAGTAGGAAGCTATGTCTGGCCTTCTAACTTGGGATAAGGAGCAGTGGTAACTTGCCCACTCCTTCACCATCCCTCACCACCCTAAAGAAAGCTAGGCTGGGCCCAGGGTGTCCACTGCTCCTTGGTCCTCCAGGGGGAGCTCACGAGTCAAAATAAAAGTTCACTCCCAAATGGCAGTGGACACATTTTTTTTTTCAAGTCTACTTTGGGGACTGGCAAGGGGCTGAGATGTCAGTGCATCTCACTCGGTACCAATCCAGACCCAATTACCAGGGAGATACCATCTCACTCGGTCGCATCGACTTCCCATGTCAGTCGGTCAGTCAGTCAGTATCATAGTACAGAGGCCACATCTTACAAATGGTGGGGGGCTAAAACAGGCAAGAGATGTTCCCCATCTGGCTTCCGCAGAACCACACCAAGGCCCTAACATCCCTCCCTGGCCTCCACTTGGACGGTCTCCTATCAGTGGCTACAGCCAGCCCAGGGATGAGAAAGCAAGATGGCGCCATTATCTTTGCCGTGGTGTAAGGGGAAAAGATCCCAACGTCGAAGAACCAGACAGTGCTATTCTACTTCCAGGGTGACACCACCTGACGCCACCGACCCCTACCTTCTCACAGAGAAAGTGTTGCATCTAGTCCCTGTGGGAGGAAGAGCAATTCTACTGATTCCCACCCACAATACTATTTGGAGGAGGCTCAGCCTCAATAAGCTAAAAGCACCCTCTCAACCGTGGCCCCTAGAAGGGACTTTCAGTCTCAGCTTAATTCACCACCTCCCTATTCCTATTTTACAGAGGGGCAAACGGAGGTGGAGAGAAGGGAAGGGACTTGTCTAAGGTTACACAGCTAAAAAATCAGCATCCCTGGAAGCAAAGTCACAGCTAAGCCTTTGGGGCAGTTGGAGAGATTGCCCGCAGCCTCTCTCCCCAGTTCAGAGAAAAACCTAAGGTAGGGGCGGGGAGAGGGAAATATGTATATATTTCATCTATAAATAAGGCGAGCTCTCTTTTTTTTTTTTGCATAGTAGTTTGAACACAGTGTCAATCATTCCCTTCCCCCCCTCCCCCCATGCCTTGTCTTTTTGTTACTTGGGCAGAGGAAAAAAAAAAGGGGTGGGGGCATTTTCCCCACTCTTCCTCCTTCCCCAAAGCATCGGCAGCACAGATCCTTTCTTCCGTGGCAAATATCTGGGAGATTCCCTCCACCCCTTCCTCTGCAGGGGATTTGGGAGCCAAGGCCCCCACCTCTCCCCCTGGAGTGGTCAGGGGCCAGTGGGGCAGGACAGGGCAGAGCAGGCAAGGAGTACTGCCAATCAGTGCAGCAGGTGGGAGGGTACAAAATGCCATCTATGCCACCCAGGGGCCTCTGCCCCCGTCTGGTAATTGTATATAAAAAAACCAGCTCGGAAGAGTTCTTTAAGCGGCTCAGCTTAAGGGGAAAGGCACAATTAACACCGTATCTCCGGACAGAGTTCGCATTTGTAGTGTAGAATAGAAATTGACAGCACCAATCCTCAGGTGGGGGGTGGGGGGGCGAGTGGATGGAGGAGGAGGTGGGCGGTGGGCGGGCGGTGGGAAGCAGCAGTCCGCAGAAGCCCCGGATGGGGGGTGGGGGAGGGCGAGTGGCGGAAGTCCTCCAGGGTGTGGTCAGTGCTGGCTCCCTCATCCCCCCAACTCTCCAGGCACCCTCCCCGAGGTTCATCAGCTGACCATTGGCTCCACATCAGGGTCTCTCTCAAACTCGTCCTGGATTTCATCTGTGCTTCCTGAGTCACTGCTGGCCATAGAGCTGGGGGACGGCGAGTTCCTGGGACAGAGGAGAGGGGGCAAGAGTCAGGCTGGGGTCTGGGACTTGGGGATGGAGGCGTGACCTCAGGTTCACAACATTTCAAGCTGGAAGGGACCTCACAGAGCTAGCCTCTCATCTTCTGGGGGAGGAAAGGTACCTTCATGAAGGTCACACAGGTAGAAGAATTGGCTGTCAGTCTTCTGACTCCAAATCCAGACCTCTTTCTTCGCTTTTACAAGATTGTGACCTCTAACATACACACATTTTAGCTATAGAGTGCCAGGCCAAGAGTCAGGAAGACCTGAATTCAAATCTAGCCTCAAACACTTACTAGCTGTGTGTGACCCTGGGCAAGTTACTTCTCCCCGTTTGCCTGTTTCCCCATCTGTAAAATGAGCTAGAGAAGGAAACGGCAAACCACTCCAGTATCTTTGTCAAGAAAACCTCAAATGGGGTCATGATTTGAGAGGCAGAAAGGAATTCCCAATGTAACCCCAAAACTTGTCTGAGGACCTCCAATGACAGGGGGACTCACCACCTCTCAAAGCAGCCCATTCCATTTTGGGACAATTCTTTGTGGTGGGATGTTGCTTAAATTTCCTGCTTTGCCATGAGGATAAACAAGATGAGGGAGGGAACGATCTCACCGTCCCCTGCCCTAGACATCCCGCATCTGGGACACAGAAGCCAGCTCTGGGAATCGTAGCTTAAAATGTCTACTGATAAGCTGGGGCACGTTCACAGCCTCTGGCAAGTGGTCATCCACTCCACAAAGGCCTGTGTGAAGACCTCCAAGGAATGGGAGGGAGTGACCCCCAAGCCTGCTGCTTTGTTTCTGGCTAGCTCTAGTTGTTAAGAAGTGCCTCGTTCTGAGAAGCCTCCCAGCAGCCTGGTAAGGGGGGACATCCTGAAGTCAGAAGCACAGACAGCGCAGAAGGAGGAGGGGCGTCTGAGCAGCCCGGCCCACTACCTGTCTGCAGAGCCCTTGATGAGTCGGCGGCATGTCTCCATCTGGACATCCAGGCCCCTCTTCATGCTGCACATCTCCATGTATTCATGCAAGTGACGGTTCATGTCGCTCTTGGCCGTAGCGAGCTCCAACTGGAAGGAAAAGATAAACATGCTTTCACAATAACCCGTAAAGCAGGTGACCAATTTATTAAGCTCATGCGTAAAATAAGAGTTGAAGGGACAGATGAAGATGTTAGGGAGGCAAACTTTGGGAGCTCCGTGCCAGTCCTTTTCCCACAATGCTGTGAAAGTTTACAGGGTCTTTGCCCATGTTCAGAGCTCCCTGGTGTGAAAAACCTTTCTACCAATGCAGAGGAGCAACCCACGTGTCACTTTTTGTCTTGGAGGGTTCTCTGAGGGTCCTGAGAAGTCTCGGGTCACATGGCCAGTGTGGGCAGAAGCAGGCTATGAACTTGGGTGTCCCCGGCTCTGAGCCCGACTCGTATATCAATTATCACTGCTATTACTGATCACCTCTAGTCAGCTTTCCCTGACTAACCTGGCCCAGCTCCACTCACCGCACTACTCCACATGCTCTCAGCATTTGTAGGCTCAGTTAACCCTAGTGTATGTGCTTGTCCGGGAATCCCAGAGTCTTTTTAATGTGTCTCTCCCATCTCAACCTCTGGACGGATTATCAGCTCCCCGAGGGCAGAACCCCAGCCTCCTCGTTCTTCAGCCAACAACAGACCCCAGGTGGACAGAGTCACCCCCCCAACACCCACATCTGGGACATTAGGACAAAATAATTCTTCCCAGGGCTCTCTGCCAGTCCTCACCTCAATCTGGCCTATTGTCTCCTGGTATTCCTTGTCTCTCGTCTTGAAAAAGGACTCAGTTTCATGAATCAAGTTGCCCAAATTTTCCTCTTGCTAGAAAGACAAAACCAAGGGGAAGATTAGTTAGTTAGGGGGGCAGATCTTGGGGTTCTGTGGAGTCCTAGAGTAGTGATCCATGAGATGAGATGAAGCATGAGAACTAGGAAGAAACTCAGAACTGAGAATGTAGGAGCTGGGAAGGGCCTTAGAACCCAGAATGTCAGAGCTGGAAAGGGCCTTAGAACTGAGAATGTCAGAGTTGGGAAGGGCCTTAGAGCCCAGAATGTCAGAGCTGGGAAGGGCCTTAGAGCCCAGAAAGTCAGAGCTGGGAAGGGTCTTAAAACCCAGAATGTCAGAGCTGGGAAGGACCTTCGAGCTCATGCAATGAGTCTCCCTCAGAGTCACCCAGAACTTCGGGGGTGTCCCAAGTCAGCCTTTACACAGAAGGGGATGAACAGGAGGAGGGGATTGGGATGAGGGAGGGGACTGGCTATCTTGAGAAGGGAAGGGCCTCGCCTCTTGCTCACCTCTCCCTGCAGGTCAATGGATGGGTTGCAGTTCGTAAAGTCCTCCCAGAGCAGCAAGGTGTCCTCATTCTCTTCCCAGGTCAGACTGTCGCAATCGTCATCAAAGTCAAAAGTCTCTCTCCTGCAGGGGTTGGGAGTGAGGGGGAAGCAGGAGGGGGAACAACACCGTAAGAAGAGGTGGTAAGCAAGGAGAGACACTGACTCCTTGGGACAGGGACAACAGACTTCAGGGACCAGACCCTAAGGAAACTCTCCCCAGCCTTAATCCTTCAAAGGTGTTTCGGTAGACAAAGTATTGGTCCTGGAATCAGGAAGACCCAAGTTCAAATCCAGCCTCAGACACTTATGAGCTGTGTGACCCTGGGCAAGCCCCTTAACCTCTGACTGCCTCAGTTACCATAGCTGTAAAATGGGAATAATAAGAACACCTACTTCACAGGGTTGTTGGGAGGATGGAATGAAATAATACTTGTAAAGCACTTAACACAGTGCCTGGTACTCAGCAGGCACTTGGTAAATGCTTGTTTCTTTCCCGTCCTAGAATGGCAGAATTTTATGTTATGGCTGGCAGGAACTTTGGAACATAGGATAATAACATGCAGAATGTCTCAGCTGGGAGGGGCCCTAGAACCCAGAATGGCAGAGTGGAGAGGAGCCTTAGAACAGAGAGTGTCGGACTGGGAGGGGCCTTAGAGATGATCTAATCCATCCCCTGCATTTGACACATAAAGAAAATGAGGCTCATGATTTTCCTAACACCAGCCAGATCAGTGGCAGGGCTGGTGCTAGATCTCAGGGCCCCCAATACTCTTTCCACATCACCCCCACACTGCTTCCCAAAGAGCCTTGGACTACTGTTAAATATTTCATAGGCCTCGAGGAAGGACAGGGCTCATGTTTCCAGTTTATTAAGAAGCAGGTCTCTGGAGTGCTGGGAAAACTGCTTCCATGGGGTCAACTTTTCCAGGGGGGAAGGGGGGGAGGGGTGTGCAGCATTCAAGATCCAGGCTTCAAGACTGGTCAAGACCCATGAGGCAATTCCCAATTGTGCCTCCAGGTGTCTCTGTCAATTCAGGGACTAGGGCCTGGAGAAACAGCTGGGAAGGGAGGGGAGTGGGCAGGAGGGAGCCTAGGAAGGTCTCGGCTCGGGAGCCTGCCTCCCTGCCCCCCTCCCCCCCTCACTTCCTTTGGAGTGTCTCGGCTCCCAGTGAAACCAGAGCTGGGAAGAGGAGGGCAGGGCCCCGGGCAGGACCGTGGGGGTTGGGCCAGAAGGGGCTGGCCTTCTCTGGGGGCTGGGGGAAGCTGATGGCCTCCCTCCCCCACACTGATACTGTCCCAAGCCCGGCCCTTTCCCACATTGACAGTGTCTGGGCTTGGGAACAAACCGACTGATTTTAATCAGAACAAAACAAGAGCTCGGAAGGTATTCAAAGCCCAGGGCCCCAGGGGAACTTGCCCTAAGGATGCTGCAGATGACAGCTGATGGAGCTGAGATGCTGGTGGAGAGGGGTCCTGAAGAGGGGGTGGCCTGTCTGGCCAGGGGTGGAGGGCTATGGCCCTTCCTTTTTTTAAAATAAGTTTTATTCATGTCTTGACTTTTATGTCCTGTTCATTTACGTCCTGCCTCCTACCAAATGAGCTGTCTCTCAGAACGAAGAAAAACGGGGAAAACCAACCCACGTCCTCTGACAGCCAAAGTAGGTAGCGTCTCATGCCCACGAGGTGCCCTCCCTCAGTGGGGTTTGTTTCATTCTTTGTCTTTGTAGGTCAGTGCCTGGCACACAGCAGGTGCTTAATAAATGCCTGTTGATTAATTCCCTCCTTTCATCGTAGGGGGTGGAGGTTCTGTGGGTTAGATGGGAAATGCCAGGTAGAGCCACCTGCATTTCCTCCTAGATGGACGGACGAGTGAGCAGGTCAGACCTCGGCTTGAAAAGAAATTGGGGGGTGGGATGGATAAAGGAGAAGATGGATCAGGATTCAGAGTGTGGGGCCAAGGGGGCTAGCAAGATGTAGCAAATAGGAGAGAACTGTCATGGGTTCAGCCTCTGAATATGCCCGTTGGTCTTCCACATTGCCCCTAACTCTGGTCAGCCATAGGGGGGAGGGACTGAGTGAGAGAGCTAAAGATGACTTCAGGTCAACTCCCTACCCCCTTTTACCGCCCCCCCTCCAAAGCTGGTCCACTGCCCATTGGCAAGGGCAGGGGTCTTCTCCGTAGGCCCAGCACGGCCCATAGATACCCCCTGTTGTCACCACTTTTGCCCTTGGAAGCCCTGAACAATCCAGCCTTTTTTGGGGGGATTCATTAACTCATCAGAAACAGTCTTCTCAGGACAATCCCAGAGCCGGAAACACTCCTCTCCCCTGGGGCATGAGCACTTCCTCTCTCCCCCTCCTTTCAGACTCCATTTCCTTTTCCTAAGATTCCAAGGAAGGGAAAGAGACCTGGAGAGGAGTCACCATCATGATCATTATGAATAATCACATATGTCCCAGTGAAAGAAGAGACAAGAGCACGGGATGATAGCCCTGGAGTGCCCCAGGAGTTCTAGTGGCATCCTTGCCATGCCCAGAGGAAGGGAGTCAGGCCCCCCTGGAGTCACCTGATGGGATGACACGGACAAGAGATGGATGGACAGGCAACGCACTGTCTTAAGGACGAGCGCTGAGCACTTGCGTTCTCTCTCTCTCTCTCCCCTCCCTTCTCTCTTCTCCCCTCCTCCCTTCAGTTTCCTCTCCTTTCCTCTCTTCTCCTCAGTCTCCTCTACTTTCCTTTCCTCACCTCTCCTTCTCTGTGTCTGTGTCTGTCTGTCTGCCTGTCTCTCTCCTTTCTGGGACTTCTCACTTGTTTGGGAATCTCCCTGTCTCCCTGTCCCTTCTCCCATTGCATTCTACATATTTTATATCTCTTAGAATCATAGATCTAGAGTTAGATAAGATCTCAGAAACCATCTGGTCCAGAGATTCTTTACCTGGAGGTCTGTAAACTTAAAAAAAAAAAAAAGATAACTGTATTTCAATATCTTTGTAATCTTCTACACTTTATTTTACTCATATGAAACACTCTTCTGAAAAGGGACCCCTGGGCTACCCCAGACCCTGCCAGAGGGGTCCAGGACACAAAAAAAATGTTAAGACTGCCACAATCTCTCATTTTATAGAGAAGGAAACTGAGGTGTGGGGAGGTTAGTAACTAGTAGCACCCTCTTAACCTGAAAACCACTATACCTTGCCTCCTTCTCTAAAAAGTGAACAGGACTCCTGGAGTTCACACTTCTTTTTTTTTTTTGAGTTCACACTTCTATAGCTCTTTAGGATTCCTAAAAGGCTTTCTTCACAATGGTGAAGGGAGGAGACAATTGAAGCATCATCATTCCCATTTCACAGATGTGGAAACCAAGACTCAGGGATCTGCTCATGGTCAGGCAGTTCGGAAGAAATGGAGTTGGGATTTCAGTGGATCACAGGTTTCTGAGCTGGGCAACTGAGTCCCAGAGCATTAAAGTGCCTGGTAAGCAGCAGAGCCAGGGCTGGGACCCAGGTTTCACAACTCTGAGCCTCCTACTCTTCTGGAAGGGGGAATGAGGGTAGGATCCCTAGAACTGGCCACCCCTTTATTTTACAAATGAGGAAACTGAGGCCCAGGGAAATTGCAGAACTCAGTCAAGGTCAGACTGGGAGGAAGCATTGGGGTAGAATTTGAACCCAGGTCCCAACTCCAGGGCCAGGATTTTTTTCAGTGAATCCCAACTGCTTCCCACAAATACTCACAGCTGGTTGAACATGCGCTTCATTTCATCCGTAATGTTCATGGAGCTGACCTCATCATCTGACAGCCTGGTGACCTCCCCATCCTGCTCAGAAATGTCGTCCTCTGTGGTTACCTTACGGTCCTTCTTCTTGGATGCTACCTGAACCAGGGAAGGAAGTGAGAGGAGAGGTGTGACTGGAAGGCTCTGCCTGGGTTGAGAGAAGGGGTTGGGAGGACCAGGAAAGATGGGAGAGGGGGACTGCTCCCCCCACAGGGCAATGGATGGAAAGCAGTTGAGGCCAGCCACGGCCAGGGCCAAGCAGTGAGAGCTCACTACAAAGCAGGCAGATGTTAGCAAACAGCGTGAGGGGAAGGAAGGCCACCATGGCAGAAGACCCCCTGACCTACCCTCTCTCTGAGGCCCACTGTCCACAAAAGAGCTCTCTGAGGCTGCCTTCCCCAAGGGGAACAGCAGCAGAGAGACGTCAGGGAACCAGGCAGGCAGGCAAGATCCAGAACCCAGAACCCAGAACCCATACAGAAAAGCCGCTCCATGTTTCCTGTGGCCCTCTGACAACATGCAGACAGGAGGACGGGGTGGGGATACACTTAGAGCTCACACACAAAGCTTGGAGATAATACAAACAGAGGAGCTGGCCTTTGCCTCTTCATATTCCTTCCCCTGGCCCTTGGATTGGTGGGGAGGGGAATAAACTTCCCCAGCAATGATACCTTTGTACCCTGCCTCCCTCCAAGTTCACAGTCACACACTTAGAAGCAATAGCACATCCTTTCCCCCTGAAATCAAGCAAAAGCCAAACCAAAATTCCCATGTCAAAAAAAGCAGCTTCCCCCAAACAATAGCAAGCTATGAGAAAGCCACAAAATGTCCAGCAGGTTGGGTTTGCCCAAAAAGCCATCAACCCCTCTCTCCCTCTCTCTCTCTCTCTCTCTGTCTCTCACACACACACACACACACACACACACACACACACACACTTTAAATCTATGATTCTAAAATCCTACAGCATTTCTCTTCACTGGCACAGTTTCCTGCACTGTAAAATGATGCAGTTGGACTTTGCAAAACAGCAAAAATCTATGACTGTGAGCATGAACCATGGGATACAAGAAAAACCAGAGGAGACGTAAGGATGTTGGGTTGCTACCTCTCAGGGAAATGAGAAGAAGGGGAAAGGGTCCTGAGAGTTAAAGGGGGGGTTGTTCTTAGCTAGATTGGCTAGGATGCCCCGCGGTCTCCTGCAGCTCTAGGACTTGATTATGATTCTGCGAGTCTGCGGCCAAGACCCAGATCAGCCATCAGTCAACTGAGTCAGTTTTGTTTTGTCTCTAATGAGGTCATTTCCCTTCTCTGGGACTCAGATTCCTTATTTGTAAAATGAGGAGGGTCAGAACAGATGAACTGTGAGTTCACTTTAAGCTTCAGCTCTGTGCTTCTAAGTCACTTTCCCTCTCTCTGGGACTCGGTTTCCTCATCTGTAAAATGAGAAGGGTCACAGCGATGACTTCTAAGGTTCCTTCCAGCTTAAGCTCTGGGACCCTAAGACACTTTCTGGAGACAGGGATGGGGCCAGGGCTGGGAGGTGGCAGTGGGAAGTGAGGGGTGAGTGCCGGGGGTGGGAGGCCCTGTTCACCTGAAAGATCTTGGACACGTCTTCCGAGTTCCGCTGCTGTGCGACATCGCACAGCTTGGCCGTGATATCGATTCGCCGGCAGATATCCATGTCCACCTTCATGGCCTTCTCTTGAATCTTTGTGTCCAGGTCTGTCATGGGCTGCAGGGAGGACAGCAGGGGGGTTACAAGAGTTGGGGGCTGGGGAGAGGACCAGAGACTGGTAGGGGCTTATCCCCACCTCACAGAACTCCTTTCCCAGCCTAGTGAGTGGGTGAACAGGAGGTGGGGGGGGAGGGTCTTTGAACTGGGGGGATTACTCCCCCCAGAGCCTGGGGGAAACTTCAGCTCTTCCAAGTTGGGAGGGATCAGCCTTCACAAGAGTCCCTGGAAACTATTCTGTGGTCTGGCATCATGAGGCTATGACTGGCTTGACTTAAGGCCTCCCACCCTGCTCCAAGGCAGGCCTACAGGGCTCAAGATTTCTCAGCCAGGGGCTGCTGCCCTGGCTAAAGACTGGAGGGCATCTTCTCTCTCAGCAACTATACAGAGACTGTGAGTTGTGTTAATTTAAAAAAAAAGAAGAAGAGAGTCCAAAATCTGTAGAAAGATTGCCACTCTCCCCACCACCACCCACCACCACGGCAGGCTCCATCTCACACAGAGCCCCAAGAAAGAGAGATAAGACACTGGGGATGGGGACCTGTTACCCATGGCTTCATCCCCACCTTGACAACCCAATCCAGAGGCCCAAGGCCCTGCCCCTATCCACACATCCCTCAGTGGCCCAACTCGCCCGAGAGAGACAGACAGGGCATACCCAAGTAAGGCCAGGGTGGGTGCCTAGCCTCCATCCCTGCCAGTGAGGACTTCATTGGCACAGGGGCCTGCCCCTCACTTATATCCTCCACTCAGATGACTGGAGCTAATTCATCCTGGCTCCTCTCGATGCCCATTTCATGAGGCTCTGGCAGTACCATCTCTCCCCCATTGGGCTTTCCCACTACTCCCTGCAGAAAGGGAATCTGGGTACCTCACAGGAGGGGAACCACAAGGCTTCCCTGCTTGAGGACAGGAGAGGAGGGGGTTTCCTTTTACACAGAAGGTTCTCCAGAGGGGGAAGCAAGAAGCCTGGAGGAGGCCATCTCCCTTCCTGCTGCTTGGGCACAGATGTGGCCTATTCGACCTTCTCTTCCATAGCAGAAGACCATGAGCCTTTGCTCACAAGATCCCCGCCTCTGATACCTGGATTGCCTGCCCTCCCAGCTCTTCTTTTGTTTTCTACCCATCCTTCAAAGGCCAACTCCAAAGCTACCTCCTCCAAGAAGCCTTCCTGGTCAGTCAAGATCTCCTCTCTCAGATCTCCCATGACATTTTATTATGCCCTCATCTAAGGCATTGATGGTTTATTATTGGCTTTTCTCCATTTGTGGTCTGTTCCCCTTCTAGATGGTAAGCTCCATGAGGGAAGAGAAGAGGCCTCTTTTAAACTTTCTATCTCTCTAGTTCAGAGAACAGGACAGACTTTTTTTTTTTAAATAAAGTTTGTGTCCTCTCTGGACCCAGACTGTATACCGGGGTGGTTAGAGGTCGGGAGACAGAGAGGAAGATACTTCCTGAAATAACTCCCCACACCTAGGCATGCTTCTTCTCCTTAGACGGATCCCATAAACTTTCAGGGGACTCAAGTAAGAGTTCCAGTCAAGTACTGTTATCCCACAGTTTGAAAAGAAAGTTTAAAATCCAGAACCCAGCTAGGGCTGGAGGAGATGGAAGGCCAGCTCTGTGAACTCTCCCTTTCCTCTTCCATGGGGGGAAGACAGTGACCTGGCCCATTACAACTCCCACTGCACAGGCCCCTGGGCCCAAGATCACCTGTGCCGCACCACCTGGTAGAGATCCTCTACTGAAAATACCCAAATCAATCACTCCACCAAAAGGAGCCCTCAAGGCCATGGGTTAAGCAGCAGGTGAATGCATCTCTACACAGACCGAATAGGAAGAGGAGAGAGAGGGAGGGAGAGGGATGGGCTGAGGGGGTTCTGGGGGGAGGGCAGGGGGAATGAATGGTCTCTGATGCATCTGTCATCAAGTCAAACGCAGCCAGGATACTAACTATGAAGCAGTGCCCACGACTGGACCGGACGGATGGACAGTCTGACCCTGGTGGTGAATGAAGCCGCCTGCATGACGGGGTGGGGGAGGAAGGAAGGAAAGGTCATGCCACCCAGGATGGAGGGGCAGGGATGGGTGGGTGGAGAGAACAGCACTTACATCACTCATCAGCCCCTTAAACACCACCAGCTCAGCCTTCAGCCGCTCAATCTTCTCATTCATCTGCTCCTGGATGGCCTCAGCCTCCTGGGCCGCCTGGGATCCGGGTGGGGGTGATGAGGGAAGAAGGGGAGGCAAAGGGGAGGGAGACAGCAGCAATTAAGGAGGTTCTGACAAGTGGAGGGAGCAGAACCAGCTGGATGGAACAGCCGCCCACCCCAGCGCTGGCGCTTCAGAGCATGAGCCTGGGCAAGGCTCAGCCCAACAACATGGCAGACCCTCAGGCCAGACCAATACAGCTACATCAGAGCAACTGGAATGATAATATGAACAAACTCCATGATTCTGTAACGGGGAATGGATTACCCTCTTTTTACAGATGAGGAAAATAAGGTTCATGGAGAGGTCATTCAGCTAGTCAGGGCCCAGAGTTTTGAAATCAAGTCTTTTGATTATAAAACCAGTGCTTTGGGGCCCCTACACTGTCTTTCACGATGGGAGTCAGTGGAAATAGGGAATCAGGGGGAGGGGGCAACAGGCAACTCCCTCCTGGTTCAGAGTCAGGCTTAGTGTGGATCCCTTCTGCTGGCAAGGAATGTTTGTGCTCTCTCTCCAACTAGGCATTGTTGGCTCCATTTTTCATATAGGGAAACCGAGGTCCAGAAAGATAGGGTCACATAAAATGGCAGGACTGGTATTTAAAAAAAAAAAAAGCTCCTTGGCTTGGAAGGCTATTGATTGAACCCCATTGGAGGGCCCTAGGCTCTGGAGGAAGGGCAACTGGGGATTAGAGAAGTGCAGGTAGAACCTTCCCTAAAGGAAATGACCCTCCAAGAATGTCAAAGTTAAAGGCTCCCAGATTATCAGAGTAAGAAGGGACCTTTGACAGTATCCTGGGCACCCCCTTTAATTTACAGACGGGGAGACTGAGGCTGGGGAGGGGGGAGTTGCTTGCCCGTTCACAGAGTGGCAAGGTTATAAAATCATAACCCAGGTCTCTTGATTCCCAATTAGAAGCACGTTCTCCGAACCACAGACTTTCTGAGCATTCGCATGTGCATGAGTGGTGAGTGAGGTGAAACCCTTCCCAGTTCCCCAAGAACAAATTAAACAGGAATTGAAATACAGGAAAAGAACCCCAGACCCATAATCTGGTTAGAACCAGCTTTCTGCTCCCATCTTCAAAGGGCGCCCAGGGTGGGCAGGGCTGGGGAGGGGGGAGCCGCTGCCCCCTGTCACTTTGGGCTGCTTCCTGGGGCTCTTACCTCCTGAAGGGTCTCCACCATGGTCTCCAGGTTCATGCGCTTGGCCAGCTCCTCCTCCCACCTGAAACAGATAGGAAGCATCGCTAGGTTATTATTATTATCATTACTATTATTAATAGGAGATAAGGGTGAGTTCGAATCCTATCTCTATCCCTTATTCATTGTATGACACTGAGCAGGTCTTACTGCCTCTGGGCCTCCATTTTCTAGCTCTAAGTGGGGAGGATGCCCCCTGCAGCACCCACCTCACTGGGCAACTGGAGGAAAGTTCTTTGTAAAATACTAGACACACACACACACACACACACACACACACAAACAGAGGCTCCCCCATTAGAATGAAGGCCTTCGGAGGGCAGGGCCCTTTGTATCTCCAGCGCTTAACTCACTTAATAAACACTGGCTGATTGATTGGCTGAATGTAGGTGATTACTATAACTAACAGATCAGGAGAGTGGTTTGGGAGTTAAGATCTCAGGAGCACTCTCCAGGAAATATACTGCCCCACCAGAGGCCAGTGGAAAGAGGCCTGGATTTGGAGTCAGAAGACTTGGATTCAAATCCTGCCTGTGTGACCTCAAGCAGCGAAGTGGTTAAACTAGATCATTTTAAGGAACCTTCTAGTACCTACCCAAGATCCCTTAGCTTTGTGAGAAGTCCTGGTTCTCCATTGACGAGATTTCATCAATGTTTGTTGACTGACAGATGGATTTAATCGTCATAATTCACATTTCTACAAGTGCTTTCCATGAGATAAGCCTGTGAGGTATGCAGTATTGCTGCCCCCATTTTACAGATGGGCAAAATGAAGCCCAGAAGTGAAGTCACTCGTCTGAATTCACACAGTTTTAAAATATCAGAGCTGAGACCAGAACCCAGGTCTTCTAACTCTCTTATCCACTGTAGCACAACCAACCAAGGAGCAGAAGTCATTCATTCATTCATTCATTCATTCATTTAATACACATTTATTAAATGCCTCTTGTTTGCCAGGTCCTATGTTAGGTGCTTGGGGATCCAAATGCAAAAATCGGGCTCTTGTCCTCAAGGACATTACCAGCTCTTCCCCTGACCCCCTCCCCTACAACCTTCCGTGTTTGAGTCATTACAACAAGCATTTATTAATCGCCTACTATTTGCCACTGTGCTGGGTACTGGGAATCCATCGACAAAAGGGAAATCATCCCAGCCCTCAAAGAACTGGCATCCATTTGCTCACATCACACTCAGTGATGCCCATTTTACAGGTGAGGAAGCTGAGACTCAGGGGCTAAGTGATGTGTCCACAATCCCCCCAGCTCCTAAGTGCTGAAAGTTGGATTCTAGGCCAAGACTTCCTGTCTCTGAGTCTACTTCAATATACCTGCTGCCTCCCCAAAGCTGGGGACCCCAGGAAGGTGTGCGGAATGTGGGCTTCAGGGAAGGCTGGTCTCCTGGGGTTCGTGACCACTAGGGAAGAAGGAGGCAGTGATGCCTGGAGGGTGTAGTGCTTAGAATACTAAGAAAGGTCTGGCACCCTAGGGGGGTGTCGGGGGAGCATAGGAGGAGAGCAGTAAGGGTGACAGAACTGGCCTGTCTCTTCTATGCCCTAACGTGAGATTCAGAAGACCTGGGTCTGAGTCTGGGCTCGGTCACTTCCCAGCTATGTGACTTTAGACAAGCTGCTGGCTTTCTCAGAGGCTCAGGTCCCCTGGAGATAGAAAGGGATTAACACATGGGCCCTCCTAAGAATGCCATGGCAGTGTTTCCTGAACCAGAGCCCCATATAGAAGCCAGAACCGCTATTATGGACTTCAGGGAAGAAGGCAGAAGCCCACGGGTACAATTACACTGTCAGAGTCCAGCCCCTGCGGGCGTAGGAGGCCTGGCAGGAGGAGAAATGCCTTCACTGCCCTCCCTGAGTTCTACCCTGCAGAGCCTGGGATGGTGGAGTTCTGAGGGGCTTAGACCCAGCGATCTCCAAGCTGCCCCGCCCCCGCCCCACAGCTGACCTTTAAGTAGCTTGATTGGGATGTTTGGTTTGGTTTTTTGCTAATATACAGCATCCCGCTGACTACGCCTGGTGAGCAAAACAGAGGCCAAATAGTCCACATTTCCCTCCACTACAGTCTCTCTCTCTCCCTTTCTCTTTTAAAGTCTCCACTGGGGAGGATTAAAAATAGGACAAAGGGAAGAAATGGGCAAGCCTGGGAAGATTCAATCACGTCATCGACTTTTTGGAAACAAGTGTTTGCGCACACACACACACACACACACAGAGGAAAATTCCTCCTTTCCTCCCACTCTGGAGGGAGCCAGCACTGGGGATGCAGACCAGTATGTCTGTCTATGTCTCCATCAGGGCTCTGGCCAGGAGGAAGCTGTCTGGGACAGAAATAAAGGGGCCTGGAATAGAGGCTGGCAGCCCATACTGTTCCTAAGGAACCTTAGGACACAGAGTGTCAGAGCTAGGAGTGAGGACCTCAGAACACAGAACAGAAGAGCTGGGAAGAACCTTAGAACATGGGATGTCAGAGCTGAAAGGGACTTTAGAAATAGAATGTGAGAGGTGGAAAGGACCTCAGAGCAGATAATGTCAGAGCTAGACTGAAGCAATAGTTCTGAGGGAGAGGGAGAAAGAGAAAGCCCCTTAATCAGAAGGAACAGCCCCAGGTTTAGGAAGCAAGGAGAAGTATAGGGATCTGGAGACAAATCTAAATCTAGAGCTGAAAAAGACCTTCGAGATAACCTAATCCAGCCCAGTGTCTGTACAGAAGAAAAGAAAACCAAGGACTACGGCCTGGAGAGAGGAGATGACTTACCCAGGGTCACACAGCTAGTTAAGGCAGTGGCAGGTTTAGGAATAGAAGACAGGGTGTCTGTCCACAAATCCTGGGGTCTATCCATTGTACCCCACTGCACAGAGCAGACCTTGGGAATGGGCACAGAAATAGGCAGTAATTCACCCTCAAGGAGTGAGAATGGAAGGGACCAGATAGGGCGTTTCATCCAATTTCTTGCCCAGTTGGGGGTAAAGATACAAAGAGGGGCTGGTAGTCTCAGCTCTGGAGCTGAATCATCCCTTCTTCTGGCCCTGTCCCACTACTCTTGGGAAACAGCTTGGGGAGGTCTGTTTTCCAAAGTCACTGAAGGAGAGGCCCCCTGGTGTCCAGTGGTGGCCAGTCTGGCCTCCAAGGGGCTGCCAGTGACCCCTACACATAACCCCCTCCAAGAGCAGCAGCTGGAGAGAGGAGCTGCCTTGGCTTCCTCCTCTCCCTCTGCTGCAGGGGCATGCTCTGGCTCACGATGCCTGGAGAGGGGTCACAGACATCCGGCAGTTCTATGAATCCTCACCAATGGAACCCCCTACACAAGGCAACTTCAGGCTGGCAGAAGGGAAAGATAACCTTCTCATGAGTAAAGCACTCTAGAGACCCCAAAGTGTGTTCCCTTCTCATCCGATTTGTGAGGTGGGCAGGGCAGGCATCAGGCTCCCCATGTAATAGATGAGGAAGCAGAGCCTCAGAGAGGGCCAAAGAACCACAGGCTGGAAGATTTGGGAATGCTGGCACTAGAAGAGGGTCCTCAGAACAGAACGGTCACTGGGGCAGGACGGATTGCAGCTTACTGAAACACAGAGGGCATCGACAGCATTCCTGCATAGAAATCACCACACAGAGGACGGGGATGGCAAGAATCACTAATTATAATAGGAAGCTACCAGATGATGAGCTCCCCCCACCCAGTGACTGCAGACCAAGCCAGGTAAGCTCCTCCCACACCAGCTCCACCCCCTCAGGGGACTATCAGAGTTGGAAGAGACCTCAAACATAAACTGTCTGAGCTGGAAAGGACAAGAGAACATGGGATGTCAGCGCTGGGAGGGCCCTTAGAACCCAGAATGTCAGAGCTGGGAGGGCCCTTAGGACACAGAATGTCAGAGCTGGAAGACAGCTTAGGAAGAACAAATGGGGAAACTGAGGCTCAGAGAAGGAAATCACATAGTGAGTAAGTGGCAAGGTAAAGACTAGGACCCAGGTGTATACTGTCTCCACAGACTATGCTTTCCCACTATACCATATGTTACCAGTGCTTGCTGAACCCCAAGACAGATGATATCGCACAGTGACAGTCACAGGCACTGTTATTTCTAAATCCAGGCTGGGTGCTTAGCCTGGTTTCCAGTGTCAAGAAGGTTTAAAAAAGAATTCTCCTCTAATCCTCTACCCTTCTTGAGGTAAAATCAGCTTTACAGGATAAACCTGCTGTCTTTGGGAGACCCAGCTACCCTACCCCTCCAATTCTTCCCTCTGGCTCTTCAGAGCAGTCAAAGGGAATCCCTAGCTTTGTTATTTTAGGCATTGGTGGCAAAGCAAGTCTGGGCTTTTTAACGACCCTGGCATTTATAAGACTGGTCAGGTGTGCTCCTTTGGCCCTCTTCGATCTCCCAGAACACCCCTGCTAAGACACAATTCCTTTCCTTCACGTGTGCCCACCTTATTGATCACAGCTCCCTTCCCACCTACCAGGGGAGGCAAGCAGGGTAGTAGTGGAAAAGAGTTTTGGACTGGGAACGAGGAGACCTGGGCTCAAGTCCCAGCTTGGCCACCAGATGTGAAATGCTGAGCAAACTGCTTCCCCTCTCCAAGCCTCCAATGCCCCTTCTGTAAAGTGGAGGGGTTGGGTAGTGTTTTTCCACTCGCGATATTGGGGCATACTACAATCAATCCAAGCTTCTGCTGCTGAAAGATTCAGAATGTCTTAGAGGCTGCAGACTTTACAAGTTGATGTTTTCTTCTTCTCTTACCCCTGGTTCCTGTCTTCTTCCTGGCTCCTCTTAGGAGTTTCTCTCTCTGAAGCCACCAACAATAGTCTTAACAAGTCCCTAGTGCAGTTCTTCTTGGGGATTACTGGACTAAATGACCCTCTATGGTTTCTCCCATTTCCAACATTTTATATTCTGAGCTCCTCCCAACTCTAATATTCTAGGTCTGAGCTCCCTCCCAGAGTTCTGACATTCTGTGTTCTAAGGGCCCTCCCAGCTCTGACATCCTGTGTCTAAGGGCCCTCCCAGCTCTGACT